GTACTATCCTCTCTTTCCCACAATACAAGAACTCGTGGGCACTCCATGAAATTGCTGAGCAGTCGGCAGGGCAGGCCCGAGGTGTTTCTGCGCCCTAGGCGAGGCACAGATGCCAACCTCCTGGTGGGGCTTGGAGACCTCTTAGCTGGCCTCTTGCTGGTCACTCTCTCCCCTCCCCGGGCAGCAGCGGCAGCATCCGAGGCAACATTCTGCAGGAGCCGTGTCTGCGGAGCCTCATCCGCTGCCGCCCCCCCCCCCGATTCGCGGCAGAGCCAAGCCAGGCACCAGTAGGCGGCAGCCCTGCCGGGGAGGGGAGCACAACTCGGGCCAGCAGGGGGGGTCTGGGCGGGCAGGAAGGGAGGAGAGGGGGGAGAGGGGGCACCCTGGCGGAGCCCCTGTGGCAGAGACGGGGGGATTTCTTGTGTCGTCCCCCGTTCTCTCTGCCGGGGGGAGGGCGGCACACGTGCTTGCAGGCGCTTCTGCCTGTGCTGGGGCTGGCACCGCCGGGCAGGGCAGGGATGGGGGGTGCGGGCGGGCGGCGCTATTGTCCTCCCCACCTGGCTGCGGCAGCGGCCAAGGAGGGCTCCTGAGTCCCGGTGGGACACATGGTTTCCGATCTCACCCGACCGGGCAGGTGGCAAAACACCCCAAGACACGTGGTGTGAAACTCAGAGACCTAAAGTGCTGCTAGTTATCACTGTGTGTCGTGCGCCCCTCCGCCTCAAACGTGCTCAAGTGGTGTGTGCCCCCCCCTGCTATGATGGACCAGCCGCTGCCACTGTGCCAGTGAGCAAACTTCGCCGCGGCTAGCAGGTTAATAGGGTAGGCGCCCTAGGGCCAGGAGGGGGCACCCTGGCGGAGCCCCTGTGGCAGAGACGGGGGGATTTCTTGTGTCGTCCCCCGTTCTCTCTGCCGGGGGGAGGGCGGCACACGTGCTTGCAGGCGCTTCTGCCTGTGCTGGGGCTGGCACCGCCGGGCAGGGCAGGGATGGGGGGTGCGGGCGAGCGGCGCTATTGTCCTCCCCACCTGGCTGCGGCAGCGGCCGAGGAGGGCTCCTGAGTCCCGGTGGGACACATGGTTTCCGATCTCGCCCGACCGGGCAGGTGGCAAAACACCCCAAGACACGTGGCGTGAAACTCAGAGACCTAAAGTGCCGCTAGTTATCACTGTGTGTCATGCGCCCCTCCGCCTCAAACGTGCTCAAGTGGTGTGTCCCCCCCCTGCTATGATGGACTAGCTGCTGCCACTGTGCCAGTGAGCAAACTTCGCCGCGGCTAGCAGGTTAATAGGGTAGGCGCCCAAGGGCCAGCCAGTCAGAGGCAGTGGCGGCAGCGGTCACCCGGTCAGGCCAAGGTGATGCGGGGCTTTTGGTGGGGGCTGGGGGGTTTTGGCGGGGGGCGGGTCCTGTTTGGGGCCCCTAAGGGCCGGCACGCTCTAGGCGAATACCTAGTTCGCCTAGCGGGTGAGCCGGCCCTGGCAGTCGGGTCAGAACAGATAAAAGGAAGTCCTTCTTCACCCA